AAGCTAAAAATGTTCCGTGGCGGCAGACAATCCTTGAATCAGAAAGCCGGCTCCTCTGTGTCAAAAAAGGATGGAAGTCTTAGGCCAGTGACTTCATTGCAGGTGGTTGCCTCAGTTTCTCACTGTGTAAATAAGAGAAATCGACAATGTTATCCACTTCTGAGTGGAATATCTGATTGCAAAGAGTCTGCTTGTTATCAACAGCTCCTTCAATAGGTGCCTTTCATGAGTGAATGGGCAACAGGTTTTTCATTTCACCTGATGTTGCCTCATGTAATTTCAAGTTTGTCAGCGGCAGAGGTTCACACAAGCTGCATTCAGCAAGCCCATTTCTGCAAAAGAAGAATTTAATGATGCTCAACATAGTGGATAAAGGGTAATGTAAGTCTGTGATCTAAATTGACGCGACAATTGCTCAATTCAAGGGATGGTCCTAAACCTGTTGCCGCGTGCGATCTGGCTGCAAGGTTTCCAGCTGGATGGAAACAATGATGCATCTGGATTGATTCAAAAGGCTAGAAACAATTTAGTTTCTGATCTTTCCCATTTTATTTTGAAAATCCATGCATGTCATCGTTACACCATCAGATTTCTGATGGTGTAACAATGATCAGAGACTTTTATATCATGTCCCCAAGATCAGAAAGAACAGGGACAAAATCTTGACACTTTTCAATCAGCGTGGATGCACTTTTTCAACATGTGCTAAGCTTTGATGTCTTTTTTCTGCCAATAATTAGGACCTCGTCATACTAGATCATGGATCCACTTTCAATCAAGTGTCTTCCTCCTACAGAATTCTGGGGCTAGTAATTTAGGAAGGGACCTTTAAGCAGCTCAGCCAGACAGGTCCTCAGCCTTATTTATTTATTTATTTATTTACAGTATTTATATTCCACCCTTCTCACCCTGCAGGGGACTCAGGGGAGATTACAATGTACATATACATAGCAAACATTCAATGCCATAGATACAAAACATATATAGACAGAGACACAGAGGCTATTTAACATTCCAGCTTTTTCATGAGGGTATTCTGGCCACCAGGGGAGCTGTCGCTTCACTCTCCATTTGTGACACTGATGAAGTACTTCCTCGTTCTTTGCATGCTTGCTAGAAATTTTTATGGCATTGTAAATTAGCCTCCCCGCATAAGCGGTACCTAAATTTCCTACTTGACAGATTCATCTGTCTTTTGGGCTGCAAAGGTCAACAGCAAGCTACACAAATTGGTTGGAAGCTCACTCCGACCCGGGCTGGCTTCGAACTCATGACCTTTTGGTCAGTAGTGTTCTTAATGCAGTTGACTCCCAGCCAGCTGTGCCAAGGTGTGAATGTTGCAATTGGCCACCTTGATTAGCATTAAATAAAGAATAACACTCAGAAGACAGGAGAATTCCAGACAGGAAACAATCAGGGCCCGCTAAATGCCTTCCAACAAAGGATTCCACCAGGCAGACACATAGAGGCTACTTAACATTCCAGCTTTTTCATGAGAATATTCTGCCCACCAGGGGAGCTGTTGCTTTACTCTCCATTTGTGACACTGATGAAGTACTTCCTCATTCTTTGCATGCTTGCTGGAGATTTTTATGGCATTGTAAATTAGCCTCCCCGCATAAGTGGTACCTAAATTTTCTACTTGACAGATGCAACAGTCTTTCGGGCTACAAAGGTTGACAGCAAGCTACACAAATTGGTCGGAAGCTCACTCTGACCTGAGCTGGCTTTGAACCCCCAGTCAGCTACGCCACAGTCCCGGTGCTGAACTACAAACTCCAGAATTCTCCAGGAGGCAGAAACAGGATTTAAAGTGGATCCCTTCTCTAGTGCCGTGGTTCCCAACCTTTGGGCCTACAGGTGTTTTGGACTTCAGCGCCTACAGTTCCTAACAGCTGGTAAACTGGTTGGGATTTCTGGGGGTTGAAGTCTAAAACACCTGGAGGACCAAAGGTTGGGAACCACTGCTGTAGTGTGATGAGGCTGTGATCAGTTTGAGTGTCTTATATTTGTCCTTGTTGAAATTCATGTTGGTATTTTTGGCTCTCTAATGTGTTCAGGTCATTTTGCCACATTTTCTTCCATGTTGAAGTGTCAGAAAGGGGAGAGGGAGTGACATAGGTGAAGAAGCTTACCTATCCGAACGTATCTCCCCTTTGAACCAGCTTGGATGTTAAGATCTTCTGGGGAGGCCCTGCTGTCGGTTCCACCTCCTTTGCTGGCACGACTGGTGGGGACGAGGGACAGGGCCTTCTCAGTGATGGCCCCTTGACTATCAACTCCCTCCCCAGTGACATTAGATTGACTGTCTCCCTCCTGGTTTTCAAAAAGGAAGTAAAAACCTGGCTGTGGAATCAAGCAATTGAGGAGTAGCACAACCATACTGCAATAAGCAACCACGAAGTCAGTACAAACAAGTCTGTTTGGATTGTGATGGTGGGATTAGGTGCTATGAATAGGCAGCTAGTGAATATTGCCAAGACACATCACATGTGGGCAAAATGTCAGGAGAGAATGCTTCTGGAGCATAGCCATACAGCTCTGAAAACTCATAGCAACCCAGTGTACCCATTTGTCCACATATTGAGTCCCACCCATGGGAGAAAGTGGGATAAAAATAAATAAATAAATAAATAAATAATAGTAATAGTAATAATGTTTTTAGCCGGCAATTTAAATGTATTTATATGGCTTTTTTAGGCACCCCTGGTGGCACAGTGGGTTAAACTGCTGAGCTGCTGAACTTGCTAACTGAAAAGTCACAGGTTTGAATTTGGAGAGCAGGGTGAGCTCCCACTTTTAGCCCCAGCTTCTGCCAACCTAGTAGTTTGAAAACATGCAAATGTGTGTAGATCATGCTGGCCACATGACCTTGGAGGTGTCTAGGGACACTGCTGGCTCTTTGGGTTAGAAATGGAGATGAGCACCAGAGTACCAGAGTCAGACACGAGTGGACTTAGTGTAAGGGGAAAACCTTTAACTACCTGTATGATTTTTTGAATGATTGTAATGTTTAATGTGTTGTGTTGTCATTTGGCATTGAATTGGTGCCAAACTGGGGGCCACCCTGAGTGGAGTGGGAATAGAGCAGGGCAAGAATGCAGTAAATATATAAATAAATACAATAGAAGGGTGTGAAACTGTGAATCCCTGGAGCTGGCTAATAGTGAGTCCTAGAGCTTTCAGAGGGCGACCCATCCTCTGACTGGCCCATGCAGTCATGCTGGCCACATGTCCTTGGAGGTGTCTATGGACGACGCCAGCTCTTCGGCTTAGAAATGTAAATGAGCACCAGAGTCGGACACGAGTGGACTTAATGTTTGGGGAAAACCTTTACCTACCTATATGACTTTTTAATGAGTTAAATGTTTAATGTGTTGTGTTTTAGATGCTTTTGTGTTGTCATTTGACATTGAATTAGTGCCAAACTGGAGATAGAGCGGAGCAAAAATGCAGTAAATATATAAATAATACAATAGAAGGGTGTGAAACTGTGAATCTGTGAACCCCTGGAGCTGGCTGAGAGTAAGCCTGCAAATGGGAAAAGGAAGAATCCCAAAACAACTGAGAAATCGAGATGAGCACCAGAGTCAGACACAAGTGAACTTAATGTCAGGGGAAAACCTTTACCAACTTATATGGCTTTTTAATTATTTTAATGTTTAATGTGCTGTGTTGTCATTTGGCATTGAATTAGGGCTCCACTCCACACTGGGGCCCACCATGTGTGGAGTGGAGATAGAGCAGGACAAAAAGGCAGTAAAGACATAAATAAATACAATAGAAGGGTGTGAAACTGTGATCCCTGGAGTGTGATCCCTGGAGTGATTCCTGGAACTGGCTGATAGTAAGGCTGCAAATGGGAAAGGAAAGATACCTCTGCCTAGCCCATGCAGTCATGCTGGCCACATGACCTTGGGGGTGTCTAGGGACACTGCTGGCTCTTTGGGTTAGAAATGGAGATGAGCACCAGAGTACCAGAGTTGGACACGAGTGGACTTAATGTCAGGGGAAAACCTTTGCCTACCTATAAGACTTCTTAATGATTTTAATGTTTAATGTGTTGCATTTTAGATGCTTTGGTGTTGTTATTTGGCATTGAATTAGTGCCAAACTGGGGGCCATCCTGAGTGGAGATAGAGCGGGCTAAAAATGCAGTAAAGACATAAATAAATGCAATAGAAGGGTGTGAAACTGTGAATCCCTGGAGCTGGCTGATAGTGAGCCTGCAAATGGGAAAAAAGGGAAGGATGATCCTACAGACTGATGAGAAAGGCAGTTTTCAGAGGGCGAGCCCATCCTCTGCCTGGCCCCACCTGAAAGGAAAGGACGAGGCGCAGCAAGGGTTAAAGCAGGAGCCTCTCCCCCTGTCTCCCTCCCCCTCCCCAAATAAAGAAACAACCCCCCGCGGTTGTCCTTGCTGGAGATGAATGGGCCAGGCGGGTGCTTCTTGGGCAGGCACGCCTGCGCCGGGGAGCCCAAGCGTTGGTCAGTGATGGAGCGGCTGCCATGACAACAACTCCGACTCGGCGTCGGGGCAAAGGCGGGGGGCTGCGCGCCGGAGAGGCAAGCAGCCCGGCGTCGGAGCAAGAGCAGAGGCAAAGGATGCTCCCAGCCTGGAGGAGAAGAAGAGGAGGAGGAGGAGGAGGAAGAGGAAGAGGCAGGCGAGGGAGAAGCACAGCCAGGAGGCTCCAAGCCGCAGCTCGGAGAGGCACGAGACCCGCTTGCTGAGCCTCTCTCGGCAAGAAGACTCCTCTCCTTCCTCCCCAGAGTTTGCAAAGTCTGGATTGGTCCTGCTTTCCTCCTCTTCCTTTGGATGCTACTCTCCGGGCTGGGATCCCTTTTGGACAGCCCCCCCTTCCTTCCCATGCCCTCCCCACTTTGAGATATATATATATATATATATAAACAGAGAGAGAGAAAGCGAGAGAGAGAGATGGGGCTGCCTTGGCGCTGCCTGGTGGTGCTGTCTCTCAAGATGCTCTTCCTTGTGCCCGCAGGAGCGCCGGCGCGGAGTGGAGAAGCCGCCTTCCCCAAGGCCATGGACAACGTCACCGTCCGGCAAGGAGAGAGCGCCACCCTCAGGTAGGACACACCGGATTGCCTTGCAGGGGTTGGGTGGGGTGGGGTGGGGTGGGGTGGGAGGCGTGGGAGGGGGGCATCCCTTTGCAGACTGTCTTGCCCGCACTTCAGAGTGGAAGCACACCTTGGGGTCTGTCTACCTTGGTGAACATCTTTGGGTTTGTTGTCCCTGCAGCTAGAGCAGGCATGGGCCAACTTCGGCCCTCCAGGTGTTTTGGACTTCAACTCCCACCATTCCTAACAGACTGAGGTCCTTTCCTTTTCCCACTCAGCTGCTTCTGAAACCAATCATTAAAAAGAGATTGGGGGGGGGGGGGGGAGAGATGGAGAAGATGCTACACCAGGCATGGCCAACTTTGGCCCCTCCAGGTGTTTTGGACTTCAACTCCCACCATTCCTAACAGACTGAGGTCCTTTCCTTTTCCCACTCAGCTGCTTCTGAAACCAATCATTAAAAAGAGATTGGGGGGGGGGGGAGGAAGAGAGAGAACTATGTAGACCAGGCATGGGCCAACTTCGGCCCTCCAGGTGTTTTGGACTTCAACTCCCACCATTCCTAACAGACTGAGCCCCCCCCCCATTCTGAAACCAAACCAAATCATTAAAAGAGAAAAAGAAGGGTGGGGGAGAGAAAGAGAGCAGTATGTAGACTACACATGGGCCAACCTTGGTCCTCCAGGTGTTTTGGACTTCAACTCCCACCATTCCTAACAGACTGAGGTCCTTTCCTTTTTCCTCTCAGCTGCTTCTGAAAGCAATCATTAAAAGGAGATTGGGGGGGGGGGGGCGGAGAGAGAATCAGAGAGTAAAATGTAGACTACACATGGGCCAACTTTGGTCCTCCAGGTGTTTTGGACTTCAACTCCCACCATTCCTGAGGTCCTTTCCTTTTTCCTCTCAGCTGCTTCACCGAGTTCCTATTCTGAAAACAAGAGATAAAGGGGGGGGGGAGATAAAGAGAGAATTATTTAGACTAGACATGGGCAAACTTTGGCCCTCCAGGTGTTTTGGACTTCAACTCCCACCATTCCTAACAGACTGAGGCTCCCCCTCCCTCCCCCCCATTCTGAAACCACATCATTAAAAGAGATAAAGAAGGGGGGGGGGAGAGAGAAAAAGAGTAGTATGTAGACCAGGCATGGGCAAACTTTGGCCCTCCGGGTGTTTTGGACTTCAACTCCCACCATTCCTAACAGACTGAGGTCCTTTCCTTTTCCCACTCAGCTGCTTCTGAAACCAATCATTAAAAAGAGATTGGGGGGGGGGGGGGGGAGGAAGAGAGAGAACTATGTAGACCAGGCATGGGCCAACTTTGGCCCTCCAGGTGTTTTGGACTTCAACTCCCACCATTCCTAACAGACTGAGGTCCTTTCCTTTTCCCACTCAGCTGCTTCTGAAACCAATCATTAAAAAGAGATTGGGGGGGGGGGGGGGGAGAAGAGCGAACTATGTAGACCAGGCAGGGCACATGTCATTCTCTGGATGTATTGGACTACAAATCCACCATTCCTAACAGCCTGAGGCCCCCCCCCCCCATTCTGAAACCAAACCAAATCATTAAAAGAGAAAAAGAAGGGTGGGGGAGAGAAAGAGAGCAGTATGTAGACTACACATGGGCCAACCTTGGTCCTCCAGGTGTTTTGGACTTCAACTCCCACCATTCCTGAGGTCCTTTCCTTTTTCCTCTCAGCTGCTTCACCGAGTTCCTATTCTGAAAACAAGAGATAAAGGGGGGGGGCGGAGAGAGAATCAGAGAGTAAAATGTAGACTACACATGGGCCAACTTTGGTCCTCCAGGTGTTTTGGACTTCAACTCCCACCATTCCTGAGGTCCTTTCCTTTTTCCTCTCAGCTGCTTCACCGAGTTCCTATTCTGAAAACAAGAGATAAAGGGGGGGGGGGAGATAAAGAGAGAATTATTTAGACTAGACATGGGCAAACTTTGGCCCTCCAGGTGTTTTGGACTTCAACTCCCACCATTCCTAACAGACTGAGGCTCCCCCTCCCTCCCCCCCATTCTGAAACCACATCATTAAAAGAGATAAAGAAGGGGGGGGGGGAGAGAGAAAAAGAGTAGTATGTAGACCAGGCATGGGCAAACTTTGGCCCTCCGGGTGTTTTGGACTTCACCTCCCACCATTCCAAGCAGACTGAGGCCCTTTCCTTTTCCCCCTCAGCTGCTTCATAGGGTCCATATTCTGAAACCAATCATTAAAAGATATTGGGGGGGGGGGGGAGAGAAAGAGAGTAGTATGTAGACTACACATGGGCAAACATTGGCCCTCCAGGCATTTTGGACTTCAACTCCCACCATTCCTAGCAGGCTGAGGTCCTTTCCTTTTTCCCCTCAGCTGCTTAGACATCATAGGGTCCCTATTCTGAAACCAAATCATTAAAAGAGATAAAGAAGGGGGGGGGGAGTAGTATGCAGACTAGGCATGGGCAAACTTTGGCCCTCCAGCTGTTTTAGACTTCAACTCCCATAATTCACTCCTGACACTGCTGAGGGGGGAAAGGAAGGGGCCTGAGACTGTTGGGAATGGTGGGAGTTTTTCGTATCAGGAGCCACTTGAGAAACTCCAGTTGGCCATCTTCAAGGATGTTGCCCAGAGTAATCCCAGATGTTTTGATATTTTACCATTCTTGTGGGAGGTTTCTCTCATGTCCCCACATAAGACGCTGGAGCTGACAGAGGGAACTCATCTGTGCATTCCCCAGATTTGAACCCCCGGCCTGTAGATCTTCAGTCCTGCTGGCACAAGGGTTTAACCCATTGTGCCACCAGGAGCACCTCTGAAGACATAGAATCATAAAATCATAGAATTGGAAGAGACCCCGTGGGCCATCCAACCTCATTCTGTCAAGAAGCAAAAAAATTGCATTCAAAGCACCCCTGACAGATAGCCCTCCAGCCTCTGTTTAAAAGCCTCCAAAGAAGTAGCCTCTACCAAACTCCAGGGCAGAGAGTTCCACTGCTGAACAGGTCTCACAATTAGGAAGTTCTTCCTAATGTTCAGTGGGAATCTCCTTTCCTGTAGTTTGAAGCTATTGTTCGGTTTCCTAGTCTCTGAGACAGCAGAAAACAAGTCTGCTCCTTCCTCCCTATGACTTTCCCTCAAATCTTGATACATGGTCCTCATCTTGTCATAGAATTATAGAAACATAGAGTTGGAAGAGACCTCTTGGGCCATCCGGTCCAACCCCTTGCCAAGATGCAGGAAAATCACATTCAGAGCACCCCCGACAGATGGCCATCCAGACTCTGCTTAAAAGCCCCCAAAGAAGAAGCCTCCACCACACTCCGAGGCAGAGAGTTTCACTGCTGAATGGCTCTCTCTCTCAGTCAGGAAGTTCTTCCTCATGTTCAGGTGGAATCTCCTTTCTTGTAGTTTGAAGCCATTGTTCCACATCCTAGTCTCCAGGGCAGCAGAAAACAAGCTTGCTCCCTCCTCCCTATGACTTTCCCTCCCATATTTGTACATGGCCCTTATATGTCTCCTCTCAGCCTTCTCTTCTGCAAACTAAACATGCCCAGCTCTTTAAGCCACTCCTCGTAGGGCTTGTTCTCCAGACCTTTGATCATTTGAGTCGCCCTCCTCTGGACACATTCCAGCTTGTCATCAAACATCTCCCTTCAATCGCAGCACCCAGAATTGGACACAATATTCTGGCTGTGGTCGGATCAAGGCAGAATAGAAGGGTAGCCTAACTTCCCTGGATCTAGACACTATACTCCTATAGAAAACACCTGGAGGGCCAAAGTTTGCCCATGCCTGAACTAGAGAGACATGTCTTTCTTCCACATCTGATGCATTCCTGCTGATGTTCACAGAGGGGGTTATGCTGTTGCAGGGAGGTGTGGCAGGCAGAGAAGCATGGAATGGATTATTATCATCTGTTCTTGGTGTTTGACCAAAGGAATCAGTATCAGTCTGCCACATGTGCGGGTTAGATGTTTTCCTATTGCATTTTGAAGAATGTCACAACTTTATTACAGTTGCTTTTCTGGTTTTCTCCCATTGCCTGAGTCATGTTGAGAGGGGCAGTGGATTTGTGCTGGTATCTTTCGCTTGCTGCTCCCTATTACTGTTTCGAAACCTGATCCAGCTATATAAGAGTTTGTCCATTGTGTTGTTGAAAGCTTTCATGTCCGGAATCACTGGGTTGCTGTGAGTTTTCCAGGCTGTCTGGTCATGTTCTAGAAGCATTCTCTCCTGACATTTCGCCCACATTTATGGCAGGCATCCTCAGAGGTTGTGAGGTCTGTTAGAAACTAGGCAAGTGGGGTTTGTTTATGTATTTATTTATGACATTTATATGCCACACTTCTCACCCCAAAGGGGACTCAGAGCGGTTTACAAGATATATATACATACAATATATTATGTTATTAGCATAGTACAATAGTATTTGCATAGTACAATATCAGTATTAAATATTACTATATTGTACTATATCATTATACGATCTGAAGAGAAACCAGAATATACCATTATATTGTAATATTATTATTAATATTACATGTAATATAAATATATAATTATAATATCATGTTATTATTAGTAGTATTATATTGCATTACACTATAATATTATAAATATATGTATATACAATATATTACATTACATTACATTACATTACATTACATTATTATATTATATTATATTATATTATATTATATTATATTATATTACTAGCATAGCACAGGAGACAAGCTGGAACTGTCCCCTGCCCCCCTGTCACTCTGGCCCAGAGCAGCAGAAGGGGAAGGGGTCCCCAATTTATATATCCGTGGAATGTCCAGGGTGGGAGAAAGAACTCCTGTCTGCTTGAGACAAGTGTGAATGTCGCAATTGGCCACCTTGATTAGCATTGAATCACCTAGCAGCTTCAAAGCCTGGGTGCTTTCTGTCTGGTGGAATCCTTTGTTGGAAGGCATTTAATGGGCCCTGTTTGTTTCCTGTCTGAAATTCCCCTGTCTTCTGAGTGTTATTCTTTATTTA